TTCTTATCTTCAAACATATATATCACCCCGCTAATGATCCACAGAGAACAAGGCTACAGGTAAGATGCCTTTTTGATCGAAGGAGGATTTGATCTAATTATCAAATTTCCAAATCAGAATACCATTTAGGTCTATTGAAAGGGTATATAGTCTCAATGCTTTTGACTTCAATTTCAAACATACACTAACAAAGTTTTCAGAAAGCTTGCCCGACTACGTGCCCAACTTTTGGAGCCAGTGGGAGGTGCTGGCTCTGGTGGCGGCGCGGGATTTGATGTCAGCAAGAGCGGCGATGCCCGAGTGGCTCTTGTTGGCTTTCCCTCTGTTGGAAAGTCTACCTTTCTGTCTAAAATCACCAAGACAAAGAGTGAGGCTGCAGCCTACTCCTTCACCACGCTGACGGCTATTCCCGGAGTGCTGGAGTATGGTGGTGCTGAGATTCAGATCTTGGATTTGCCCGGTATTATCGAAGGTGCCTCTGAAGGCAAAGGCCGTGGTCGGCAGGTCATTTCCGCCGCAAAGGTGAGAGGACCAACTTTTTTTTTGATGGAAAACGCCACGGAAACACTGACAAAACTTTTACATCCAGACAAGTGATTTGATCTTGATGGTTCTGGACGCCACAAAGCGTGCCGAACAGCGAGCCTTGCTCGAGGCCGAGCTGGATGCTGTGGGCATTCGGTTGAATAAGGAGCCGCCGTATGTCATAACTTATCCGAAGTTTTGCACAGAAACAGATACTGATACAAACCTAGCAATATCTACCTCAAAATCAAGAAGGCCGGTGGCATGAAGATCTCTTTTGCCACTCCCCCAAAGAATTTGGATGAAAAGATGGTTTACAACGTGCTCCGGGATTACAAAATTCTTAACTGCGAGGTACTCGTGCGAGATGAGAATGGTACGTGGTGCTTTGATACAACAACCAGACCGAATTACTGATCGAGACACCGTTATAGCTACGATCGACGACTTTATCGATGTGATTATGAAAGACCACCGGAAGTACATCCGCTGGTAAGATTGACACTAATGATAATTGATATCCACCTAGCAAATGCTAATCTTTGTCCTTTTCTGCCAGCCTTTACGTCTACAACAAGGTCGACAGCATCGGCCTCGAATTCCTTGATGCTCTTGCCCGCGAGCCTTACACAGCCGTCATGAGTTGTGAACTCGATCTCGGTGTGCAAGACGTTGTCGAACGCATCTGGAAGGAACTGAGACTAATGCGGCTTTACACGAAACGGTATGATATATCCATGACTTTTAGTTTCATTGACGTGTCTGACGAGTATCATGTCTATAGGAAGGGCGAAGACCCCAAGTTCGATGAGGCGCTCATCGTACGCAAGGACTCCACCATTGAGGATGTCTGTGACCAGATTCATCGCACAATCAAGGACACATTCAAGTATGCGATGGTGTGGGGAGCGAGCGCAAGACATGTTCCGCAGCGGGTAGGATTGGCACATTTGGTTGCTGATGAGGATGTGGTATCCATAGTGGCCAAGTAAGACTTAGGGGTTGATAACGATGATGAAATTATTGACACGACTACAAAAAGACTTGGGATGAAAGTATGTTTTAATACTGTTCATTTCATATACCATGCATGAACCTATGAACAAAATACACAAAATAATATTCACCCAAAAAACCAATTGAATCTCCGAAAACCAGAACTCCTACTGCACGTACGTCGACATATTTAGGCAGCAGCGGCAATGGCAGCAGCGGCAGTAGCGGCAACCACGTTCTGCTGGCCAATGGTGGGTTGGACACCCACACGCTCCTTGGCAAGTAGATCGACCAGTAGAGGGCTGGGACGGCTGTCACGCTGGGGGTAGAGGCCAGCCTGGTTGTTCTTGTACTTCAGCACAGAGTCCAGGTAGATATCGAAGAGATAAGACGAGTCGAGAGGGCCGCCCTTCGCCTCGGGGTGGAACTGGGTGCTGAAGATAGGACGAGACTTGTGGATCATGCCTTCATTGCTCTGATCGTTCAGGTTGACAAAGTACGGCTTCCAGTCGGAGGGCAGAGTCGAAGCATCAACGGCGTAACCGTGGTTCTGGCTGGTGATGTGGCAGCGACCAGTGCTGAGGTCAAGAGCGGGAATGTTGTGAGCCCGGTTTCCGTACTTAAGCTTGATGGTGCTAGCACCAGTGGCAAGAGCCAGAAGCTGGTGGCCCAGGCAGATACCGAAAATGGGAACCTGGGAGGTCTCCATCAGACGCTTGAGGTGGTAGACGGTGTCCTGGCAGTGAGTTGGATCACCGGGGCCGTTGGAGATGAAGACACCATCGAAGTGGTGGGCGACCTTGTGGATGGGGTAGTCGAAGGGGAGCACAGTGACGCTGGAGCCACGGCCGACCAAGCTGCGGAGAATGTTCTCCTTGACACCACAGTCGATGACAGCAACGTGGGAGTGAGGATCGGCAGCGGCAACGTGGAAAGGCTGCTTGGTGCTGACCTGGCGCACCAAGTGGATTTGCTCAGGGTCAGTGAAAGCTTCATCCTCGTTGGCATCGTACTCTTCACCGACGGTAATACGGGCCAAAGAAGAGCCTTGCTCACGCAGGTAGGTGACAATAGCACGAGTATCGACACCGGAGATGGCAGGAACACCTTCACGGGCACACCACTCACCCAGACTCTGGACAGCAGTCCAGTGACTGTATTGCTCGGCGACATCGGCAACAACAACACCAGCGGCCTGGAGGTTGGGGGACTCGAAGTACTTCAAAAGTCCATTGGGATCCTTCTCGGCGGAAGGAACACCGTAGTTGCCGATCAAAGGCTGGGTGAAAACCAGAATCTGACCACGGTATGAAGGATCGGTCAAGGACTCGGGGTATCCAACCAGAGAGGTGGTGAAGACGGCCTCGCCGGAGATGTTGGAGCGGGCACCGAAAGACTTGCCGGAGAACATGGGACCATCACGGATAGTGAAGGTGGCAGGCTCCATAGCGGCACGCTGACGCACAGTGGCCATGAAGCGAGCCTGAGCAGGGCGGTTCATCGAGGCGAAGGCACAAGCCCGAGAAGGCATTGCCTTGAAGAGGTTGGAGATCATTTTTATTTTATAAGTAACAATTGTAAATCAATAGAAAGCTTTGTGCTATTCAGTTGATGTTGGCTTTCCAAAGGTGGTCCGAGATATAGTCCTGGGAGGTGAAGATCGAGGGTGCCAAACACATAAGCGCGACTGAGCAGGTGGCAGTCAGGGTATGGTAGAGAGAAGTTGGGGGGTTCGCTATTTAGCGCAACATGGGGTTTTGTTTTTTGTTGAGACTTTGGGGTAGAGAAATGGGGAAGAAAACGGAAAAGAAGGGAAACAAGAGGTTTTTCAACCCCCGACTCCGTGGGCACGTGCTCTCACCGACTTTGCCGGTGTCGGCCAATCGGAGCGAGTCAAAATTCTGTTATCGGCTTAGGGGATCTGACTCATCCAATCCATGGAGCGCCGGGTTCGGCCTGGACAACGATATCTTCAGGGTTATCAGGCATATCAGGCACAGAGAATTAGTCACCATTTTTCAATAGGATCATCATAACTATTTATATAAATTTGAAGAAAAGTTAGGCAATATCAATGACTGAGACAGTTTGATCGTCTAGATTCTGTTTACTGTACACCGTACACCACCACTATTGCCCCACCCAATGGCACATTGCAGTAGCCCTGCACCTTGCCCGCGCCATTTGCCACTAGGTGCTCAATTATCGGTATTTTGTGTGGGAAACTCGCCGTCCAATTGCAAGATTTCGGTAGGTTTGGTTGTGTCACACACAGGGTTCCTTTAGGCCCCGGGTAACAACGTAGTGTTCAAGGGAAGCAACGTTGGCGACCAAGGGCAACATCACGGCACATTATTGAAATGAAGGTAGCACCAGCTATAAGAACCACGTTGAATACGAGGCAAAATGAACAAGACAAGTAAAGTAGCCTCTGGTGTTCTCATTACAAAAAATTAAACAATGATTTTCTCTCAATATCTATCCTATGGCCTGCTGGCATTCCTACTGCCCTCGGCGACTTTTGGACGCTCCATTCTCTCAATCTTTGGAGACAGCACCCAGAGCCCACTTCTGAAGTCAGGGTGTGATGATGGGACTGGGATTGTTGACCCAGATGGCAAATGCAATGGCACTGGAGTTGTGGACGACCCAGTCCCCCATGGCCGAGAAGGATTCAAGTTCGAGAACCCGTCCATAGATTGCGAATATGTGACTCAAATGCATATTTGGGACGCATTCAAAGACCTCGAGAAAGACATGAGTAAACTATTCACGCTGATCCACAAAAATGTCAGCTTCACTGTTGTCGGGCATCACCCGATCGCCGGCCGCTACCACGACCTAATGCACTTCTACGTCAATGCCCTACGTCGAGTAAGCATGTTGTTTTTTGACCATGCAGATCTGTTTGAGATACACCCTCAGGGAATATATGGAGGGTGTAACACTGAATGGTCAGTGGAGGAGATTCAGTTTAAAGGCGTGATGAATTCCGGTGAGCAAGCAGGCCCTCCTATCTTCAGCATCCATTTGTTGACTTGATGACCCACTACAGGCGACAAGTTCGATATCACCAATGTCTGGTTCACACGCTGGAATCATGGCCAGATGGTCGAGATCCGTACGTACATAGACGCACCGATGATAATGGATGCGCTGCACAAGAATGAAATATGGTGGAATGGCACGACCCTCCGGGATAATCTCCAGTATATGCCAGGACCAGCAGGAATGCCGGATCTGAAGGAAGTTGAGGGATTGATGGGATACCCGAATGGAAGCAAATACAAAGATTAAGCCGAAAATATGAATGGTGAAGAGAAGAGAAAAATAAAAATAAAATCAGGTGTACCTTGTACATCGATGTGTAGTTCAGATTGGAAAGGGGAAGATGGGGAAGATGGGGAAGATGTCTAATTTGCTTGGCACCAATTTACCCAACTCCCCGCAATGTTCCCCATAGTGTTTGTTTTCCAAATATGTCCGAGTCAACGCTTCGCAAGCGCTCGCGTTTAGCCTGCACTTTGTGTCAGTCGCGAAAGCGTAAATGTTCAGGTGGGCAACCTTGTAGCACCTGCGCCCAAACTGGAGCGGAATGCCAATACAATGCACGCAAGAAACGCGCCAGATCCCATAGTCTGTACCAGGCGAGTCTTCTCAGTGAACGACCTACAGATGGCTTGTCCAATGCAGTTCCAAATACTATCAGTGCCGCAGCCAACGCTACGGTACAGGCTTCCCCCCCGCCGTGCAAGCAGTCCAGAGGGCGTTACCCATTCCCCTACAGGCCAATTCTGGCGCCGCGTTTGTTCGCAAACTTGGGCTTAAAATTGACCCGGCACATGCACCACGATTGCAATTATTTGCCTGGAACGTCGGTGAGAGACGGTTATCACCAACAGTATCGTCGGCGCTTCCATCAATACCTGTCACGGCGCCGACACCAACGACTATCACCAAAATCATATCCCAGGAAGAGATGCGGCGGCTAGCAGCGATTTATTTCGAGAAGGTCGATTTATGCTATACATTTCTGGACCGCAAGATGATATTTACTCGAATCGCAAAGCGCTGGAAATCTTCGTCGTCTCCCATTGATTCTGCGGAACAGCCATATGATGCTGTACTATGCGGTGTAGCTGCCTTCGGGTATCTATTTTCGCGGCGCGAGATCATAGCAATGGAAGTCCGACTCATTGATACCGCGCGCATTCTATTGGATAAGAGTATCCTCGCAGCGGAAACACCCTCGATCGACATAGTGACAGGGTGGGTGTTGCGTGCTGCGTATCTACGCATGACAGCCTCACCACATGCTGCATGGATGGCCAGTTGTACACTAATGCATCTTATCGAAGCTGCAGGATTGCACCTTGACACATCAGATCCTGAAGTAATAGACATTCTCCAAGCATCTCCGCCCGAGACACACGGTAGCCGAGATGGCGACATAGGACACCAGGGCACCAGCGACCCCGAAACCAGGCGAAGACTCTTTGGCATGGCTCGCCACCTCAACACATGGATTTCCTTCGACCTCGGCCGCTCCCGCGTTGTTCTCCACGGCGCCACAGCTCTCTCTCCTACAAGCACACCCCCATCCCGCAACCCGGCACAGCAAGCACCACCCCGAGTCCCACGCGCAGACCTCTTCCACCTTCTCCCACTCTCCGAAAACCTCGACCCAACAGGCCCGTCGCCACAAGATCTCCCAGAACTCGAAACAGCCCTCACATCCGTCATGGATCTTCTCTACTCCGAACCCTCGCTAATCTTAGTCCAATGCAACCTAATGCTATGCATTTATCGCCGCCTCCGTGCTCTAAACCCACACGGCCCATTATCCTCAAATCTCCTTGACCGCGTCCTTGCACTAGCGGGTCGCGGGCTCCGTGCCGCACGAGGAATGGTAGCCTCCACCTGCCCCTGGCACCAAGTTGCCAACGTCCCATTTCAGGTCGTCTGCTCACTTCTAGCGATTGACAATCGGGCTGCGTTGGCGCTGCTCGCTGATGCAATGCGGACTCTGCATGAAGTTCTCGCTGCCTATGATACACCTTCTATGCGTGAGGCGTATTCTACAGCATATTTACTTATTGCGTTGCATCAGCGGCGAAAGGAAGATGATACCCGTGCTCTCGCTGAGGTGTTGCGGGTCAATGCTGCTGCCGCGGCCCCAGCGGACGATCAGAATGGTAGGCCGGTTGCACGGACGGTGGTCACCGACCAGAGCCAAAAGCAGGAGCAGGAGCAGACCGCGCCAGATTTGCTGGTATCAGATGCGGAGTTCTCATGGCTGGGTGATTTGATGATTGATATGCCAAGTCTGCAAAACTTTGATCTGGACCAATTTTTAATGACTGATGTCCCATGGCCTTTACCTGAGATGGGAATTTGAAAAGGTTCCATCGGATTTTGCTACACAATACCCAGTCGCCCATGCCATCGGGAGTACCAAAGGACCCTTCCTGATTGCGACGGGCCAACCACTATAAATCCCTCCTCCTTTTCATACATTTTCGGTTTCTTCTCCTTTCTCCTTTTTTCATCCCACAGAGCACTATGGATCGGGGACGGGGATAGATTGGCGAGAATCGATGGATAGACATGGGTATTTCCAAATGTGTAGTTGCTATACTCCACAAGCGGTGGAATTGTAGATCGCACCCAAAAGTCTACTTCAACTTCTAATGGAATATATAAAAAGCAAAATAATCAAAACGGGCTTTCGAAATAGCATCTACAGACTTCCCCTGATATGTTTTAGTCGAATCGGTCGAGTTGCTGTTATATCGAAGCTTCTCGAAACTTCGATTGTCCCAAGTCACACACGTCAAGACTAGATGGGTGACGTCACTCACGAGACCCCTTGATCACTGACATTGCAGTACATGAACAAAGTACAATCATATTCTTTGCTGCAGGCTTTTTGTGTGCTTTATTTCTTCTCCAATCTCATGACCTTGAACTTTGATTTTCCATATTCCTTTAACTCTCAATTCCCTTCATTAGGCACGATCCGCCTTTCCGCTTCGAACCTTCTACCTCATTCACGAAGTACACCGCACCCTCTCTCACTTCCTACGCAGGAGCACCCTCTTTTACTTCCAACGCAGGATTCCTTTTCCTGTTAGAAATCACTCATAAGCGTGCACCTTCGGTTTGAGGCCCACGGTTTTTAAACTGCTTTTTACTTTTATCCATAAACCTAACCTTACCCCGCACTATGGTTGCCGAGAGCAAGCTCTACGACGCCTTGAGCGTCAAGCCTGATGCTACTCAAGATGAGATTAAGAAAGCATACCGCAAGGCAGCATTGAAGCACCACCCAGACAAGAACAAAGACAACCCTCAGGCTGCTGATAAATTCAAAGGTACGTTACCCCGCACAGTTTCGGTTTCCCAAATATGACTAACAGTTTCTTAACAGATGTCTCGCAAGCCTACGAAGTCCTATCCGATCCCGAAAAGCGTAAGGTCTACGACCAGTTCGGCCTTGAATACCTGATGCGCGGTGGTCCCGCACCGCCCCCGCCAGGGGGAGGCGGAGGCGGCGGAGCTGGCTTTGACGGTGGCATGCCCGGAGGATTCAACTTCGGCGGCATGCCCAGTGGTGGAGGAGGCCGGAGGTTCCACTTCTCGACAGGTCCCGGCGGTGGCGGTGGGTTCAGTTTCAGCGACGCCAACGATACCTTCCGCACCTTTGCCAAGGACGCCGGCGGCATGGGTGGTATGGGCGGCATGGATGAAGAAGATATTCTCTCGATGTTCGCAGGAGGACTGGGTGGCGGCGGCGGAGGCGCTGGCTTCCGTAGCAGCCGTCCGGGATACTCCAAACCGAAACGCGCACCTACACCCGAGCCAACTATCATCGAGAAAGACCTGCCACTAACTTTGGAGGAAATCTACAAGGGTACCTCTAAAAAGGTCAAGACGAAGAGCAAGGCCTTTGACAGTATGGGCAAACTCACTACCAAGGAGGTGACTTTGGAAGCCAACATTAAACCTGGGCTGCGTGCTGGCTCGAAGATCAAGTACAGAAATATTGGAGATCAGGAAGAAGGGGGACGGCAGGATGTTCATCTGATTGTAAAAGAGGTAAGAGATCGCTCCTGGCTGTGACAAATACACTTGACAAACCATTATTAACAACCACTTACAGATCGATCATCCTACTTTCAAGCGTTCTGGTGACAATCTTATTACATCGGTGGACCTCAGCCTGAAGGAAGCACTGACAGGCTGGGAGCGCATTGTCCGCACTATCGACGGGAAGTCCATCCGCGTATCTAAGCCAGGTCCAACCCAACCCGGCCACGAAGAGCGTTATCCCGGTCTGGGCATGGTGATCTCCAAGAACCCCAGCAACCGCGGCGACCTGGTCATCCGCGCCAACGTCAGTTTCCCCACTAGCTTGACTAGCTCCCAAAAAGACATTCTCCGGGATGTGCTGCCTTAAAAAGGACTTGATTTGATTGCATATACCTGGCGTTTGGGGTGAAAGGAGAGTATTTAATGACAATGACAATGACACGAACAAATTTTTGTATGAGGTTTTTCAAGAATCTCTTTTAATTCGACAGGATAGTATTTATGTATGAATACAAGGTTGCCCACCTGGGCAGGTGAGCGAGTCGTGACTAAATAACGTAATATACTTGTGTTGTAGTCTAACCCAATTGAGCGAATGCGGAGAACCCAGTGACACCTTGGAGAAATCAACCTTGGAATTCGTCACTTCTGTTTACCTTTGTTTCACTTGATATCCCTTAATTTGTTTACATACACCATGAAACGAAGAATTACCTTCATCCAGCGCGTCGATGCCAGCTTCGACCCGCAGCAAGCTGTGTTAACTGCGTCATCCCTCTCCGTCCGCGGCCTGGACGCCGCGCGGGAGGATCGTATTACAGTCGGACTGGACGAGCTCCCAGAGGAGGTGAGAAGGGTTCTTGATTGCAGAGTCTATTGAGAATTGGGCAAAGCTAACCTGTTTGTTTTGTGTTTAGTTGCGTGCTGTCCTCGAGCAATCTCATGAGCTCCACCTCCGCTGGGCCTCCGAGAGGTCTTTTGATGCTGCTGTGCCATTCAGCAGCCGGGTTTCACCTGGACTGCATGCGCATTATACTCCGCTCGAGTCGGAATCATCTTCGTGAGTTCAGTTCTACATATTGGGTTTGGGGAATAGCGATTGACTGATTTGGTTATCGATAGGGAAGCACTGTGCACGCTGCTCCGCACGATAGTCGCGCCCAACAAAGACACTCAGTTCAAGGGCTGTTCGAAGCAGGAGGTATTTCACACCTTTTCATTTTCCTTCGGGGACATTCCATAGCCATATTTTGCATGTGTTCGATCTGACCCGGAATCTGCTATGCAGGAGTCGTTCATTACACCCCCGCTTCTCTCCACACGATTCGCTTCCTCGACCTCCCTACAATATTACACCTATCTCCCTTCCATCCAGTCTCTAGTGGAATATATCCAGAACACTGTCTGTGGCAAGAACCGTACAGATGGCTCCGAATGTCACACCCGGGCCGATGCTCTGCTCTCTGCAGACTCGGTTGATATCGACTATGACAGCGATTCGCACGCCTTAACTGTGTCTGGGCTCTGGAACAGTCCACCTACAGGCGGTTGGACGGATCAGTTTCAGAAGCCAGAATCCGCTGCCGATCAAATCGAGTTCGGTCTCTTGGGTGCCGACGCAGGGCTTGAGCCAGAGGAGATTAAGATGGGTGGGCTGTTAGCGGTTGTTGGACAGGACAAAAAGCTAAGTATGTGCCCTTGGCGTTTCTCACATCGCTTTCCTTGTCTAAAGCTGGTCCTCCGAAATGGCTCGACTAACCCCCATATAGAACCAACCATGTTCTCATTCCCCTCCCGCCACCAACAACTCACTGAACCATCTAGCTACACCGTTTCATTCGCTCCCCCAACTGGCCTCCATCCAACCATGTCTATATCCATGCCCCGATCATCCCTCAAACGACCACCAGCACCCAGCGACGCAACTTGTGCTCTACACACATACCTCACACTCCCCTCCACCATCTTCGGAGATCAATACCAGCTGGCAACAACAGACCCACTCTTCCTCGAGTCACACAACCTCGTAGCCCTGCGTGCCTTGGCAGGCGAAATGGATCTTGAAGCCCCAGACTGGGTTGTTCAGCGCTGGGGCTCAAACTGGCTCCTCGAACTAGCCACCCCTCCAGAAGCCGAAGACGGGACCAGCGCACCAGACCCCTCAAATTGGACTGCCACTATTCCTCTACATCTGCGCTACCTACCACCCTCCGAAACAGGATACCGCACTGCCCACATTCCCTGGCCCGTTGTCTTCTGGGCCTGTACTACTGAGGACGACACGAAGATGAGTGTGAACCCCTTTGACCGCACAAATCTCGGTTGGGACGGCTTGTTCGGTCCGCGAACCCTATTCTACCAGCTTCAGCCTGCAGGCGATCGTCTTGTTGAGGAGATCGATGTGCCGGTTCTACGACTCGAGGGCGGGGATAGCTACTTCCAGGGTAAATATATAGAGCTTGGCACTTGTGTGGTTATCTCTCTTGGGTTCATATGGGTGCTTTGGCGGCTTGCTCGTGTTGCTTGGTTGTCTGGCATTGGAAGTAAACCGGCTGGCACTGTGCATGATAAGAAAGAATAATTGGTTTATATGATATTGGATAGTTTATTCACCACTGTTTACCATTATTCCCCATCACTTTCCCTCTTTATTTCGGGGTGTTCATCTTACAAGTTTTTCGATGTGGAATTCTAAAGCACGAACCTTTTAGTACTACGTACATACATACTAGTAGTATAACCAGAGCGGGACCCACCACAAAGAAAGCTTCAAGCTATATCCAATGCCTAATTATATCTTCACTTGGGTCGGGCTGACTCACTCATTAGAGTTAGAATTAACGAAGTAACATATACAGTTGTAATTCGTACCCTATCCTAAGAAAATTAGTTCTCCTAGTATAAAATTAGGCTGTACTTATCACTTGTATATCGATTTACCTTCTATAAAACATTTCACTAAGGGGTTTTATATAAACATATACCGTATAAAGCTATAGTATAGAAGGTACGTTCGTCCCAAAACGAATATTACTAACGTCTTCTATACATAACGCCAGTAGCTAGGAAGGTTTGAATACTTTCACTATCTTTTATTTAATCGAATTCTAACGTATCTTTATCCGTACTAATATCCTAGGGGGCTAAGGATATCTACACTACTCGATAGGATGAGACTTCTATTCTATTGATCAGTGATACTGAGCCCATATAGAATCTTAATAATGATAAGAATCACCTCAAATAGGAGTTGGGGTGGCATGATAGTCAGAAGTGAGGATGTTGGGAAGGATGAGTGATCAAGATGTAATCCAACGCCATGTCTTTTGGGGAGCGACGTCTATCCATACAGCAGACATATCTTGTACCGTTCTAAACCCGACCCATTGCCGCTCTCGGTACTGGTTTGTTATGACCTTGCCATTTGTGACTTGTTGCTTTAAACATTTGTAAAAGCGGGCAAAGTTCCCCTACGTATACTAGAAGCCAGACATGCTGAACCTTAGGATCTGTAGGATGTTATTGTGTATTGTTTGGATCGTTGACTTTAAGATGACCTGTGAGCCGCGTGATTTCGGTTCCGTGATAAATGTCACGGCTGCAATGAATTCGAACACGTTATCACCAGTTAGACGATTCGGGATCCTACCCCTCTGATATACAATATGGAACCGGAGTGGGATAGGAGAAGGAAGAAAGGAGAAGAGAGAGAAGCGGGAGGGGAAGGGGTATTCATACCTTCCCAGTGGCTTGAGGCAAACGGCAAACCCGACGAGGAAGGCACCTACCTAGGTATTCAAAGTCACCTATACAAAGTATACACTTTTTACCGTATTTGTATATATATAAGAAATCATCTAAAAGTATATCTAAAAGAATATCTGAAAAGAAATCTGAAAAGACATCTGAAAAGATATTTGAAAAGACACCTGAAAAGGCATGACAAGGCTGTATAAGCGGCCGCCTATTCTTGTTTGGTATATATATAATGTATGTGAAAACTTCTAATAAAGCTCACCATAACTTCCCCAACAAAACTCTTGCCCTTCTATACACACCCATCTTCGCTAGACACACCCATCTTCGCTAGACACACCCATCTTCGCTAGACACACCCATCTTCGCTATACACACCCATCTTCGCTATACACACCCATCTTCACTATACACATACATCTTCGCTATATACATACATATATATGCCAATGCCCTACCATCTCCCCGGGTTATCCAGGCCCAAAGCTTCTAGCCTGGGGAGACATGGACCTCTACCTCCGGGAAGAGAATACCCCAACAGTGGACGACTTCGAGTGCATTCTCAAATTGCGCTACAACAAAGGATCCGAGGACAGCCCAACGGACTTCCTGTTGAAGAGGATTGGTGCGCTGCCTAAGCCAGAGTGGAACCTTCTTTGCGTTGTGAAGCTCATCATCATTGTTGCGTTTCGAACCGGTCAGCTGGATACGACTCTAGAAGGATTGCTCGGGGCTATGAAACGTCGCCCTGATAAATGGGTGGTATTTCGGTACCCCCAATGGCCATTGGTATGCTCCGTGGACCATTATCGCCCAGATTTCGACCAGGTCGCTAAGCCTCAGATGATCAATCATTTCCTTAAGGCAATGGGAAATGCGGCAGGAGTGACGGAATCTCTCACTTATCATGATTTACGTCGAGGTGCGGCTCGAGACATCGCCCATCTTCCGATGGATAGGCTTGTTGTCACAAGTGAAAATGTGGTCGCCGGAGCCATTGGACACTCACGTCGTGCAATGGAGCAGGGAGTGACACAGAAGCACGCAGGAGCACGCAGGAGGGATCTTCGAGGACTATTATGAAGGATTTAGCGGAGAGAGATTATGGATGTTGTATGGAAAAAAATTACATATAATCTAGAGGAGCAGAAGAAGAAAAAAGGAAAAGAAGACAAGGAGATGAGAGAAAAGAAGGAAGATCAATCAATTCCCATGTCACCTATGTCGATCACCAAGTAGCAAAGAGATGCAGCCGTCATCCGACCTCTAGCACCCAACACACCTCTATTGTAAAAGAGCCTCAAGATCTGCAACACGAGTGCCTCTATCCTCAGCTTTCTTTTTCGCCGTCTCCCGGAAAGCAGCAAGCATAAGGCTCCTCTTACGCTCTTGGATCGCCAACACCCGCTCCTCAATACTATCTTCCATAACCAGTCTCCAGACCGTCGTCTCCCGCTTTTGCCCAAGCCGATACACCCGATCGACAGCCTGATCCTCGATAGCTGGGGCCCACCAACTGTCACACAAGATGACCTGGTTCGCTGCAACAAGGTTGAGACCAACACTGCACACGCTCAGACTTGCGAGAAGGACGGTACACTCAGGATCGTTGGAAAATGAGTTGATGGAGTTGTCGCGTTTCACAGACTGCATTTTGCCATCTACGCGGGCGAACTTGACCCCGCGCTGCTCAAGTTGTGGTTCGATTAGATCCAGGAACGAGGTCCATTGGCTAAAAACCACGGTCTTTGTGCCTGGTGCCTGGCCCTGAGCAGTCAGGATCTCGACCAGGGTCTCGATCTTACTGCTTGGACTATCGGGATCAGCCTCAACGGTATCTGTGTCTTCACCCAGTTCCACAGCTGGGGAGACGAGTGTGTTGGTTTCGTTGATATCTGCGCGGCAGAGCGGACACTTGTGCTGGCGTTCAATAACCTGCTCGATGCAGCCTCGGCAATAGGAGTGGGCACAGGCGGTTATGACGGGTTGCTCAAGGTTGTCAAGGCAGATGGCACACATTTCCTGGCTTTCTATCTGGAGCTGCAGCATCTCTTGCAGAGCGCGGACGTTCTCAGGTGTCAGAGGTACAACCTTGTGTTCCTCCAGCATGCTCATGAGTTTGTCAACGCGGTTCTTGCAGAGCGCCCAGTGATTGCAGACTTGACGAAGACGGAGAAGAACCTCGAGAAGGTGAGAGTACTTGGTCTTGCCATCTTTATCCTTGAAGTCGAGAAGAGCACCTTGGGCCTCGGTTCTATGATTGTTATTAGCAAATTTGTTTTCACTTGTGGGTAGTCACTCGATACATACTGGAAAGCACTGTACTTCTCCTGTTCATGGGCACTGAACTTGATTCGAATGATGCGAGATGTCATCTCGGGTAGCTTTAAATTGATGAAGCTCATATCCTTCCTACGTCGCAGGCAGATGGTGCCCATGAGAGCCTCAAGAAGCAGTCGAGCGTCGGGCTCCCCTGAAGTCAAGGGTCGAATCAAGACACTGTTGAAGATCCTCAAATCTTCCAAGCCACCGGAGAACTTAAGGAAACGAATTTGCGCATACAAGTCCTTCAGAGTATTGATAATGGGGGTTCCGGTCAGGGTCCAGCGAGAGTCGGCGCGCAAGCCACAAGCCGCAAGGGAGGCCTTGGAACTGGGATTTCGGATGGTATGGCCTTCGTCAAGTACGACACGACGCCAGTGCAGCGAAAATATGCCCTTAACAGGCGGCTTATTGGCATCCGGATTAAATTCCAGGGCCAGGGCTCCATAGCTTGTGATCACAACATCATACTTTGCCAAGTTCGCAGCTTCCTTCTTCCCAGAGCCATGGTAGATCAAGATACTCGGGGCGGTCTCCTTGTGCGCATGATCCTGGATCTGATTCCTCCAGTTGCTCATGACACCGACAGGGGCAATGATCAAAGTGGTCTTAGAGGAGCCTGCAGTGAGAGGCTTTGCATTTGCAAGAATCAAAGAGATTATCTGAATTGTCTTGCCCAAGCCCATATCATCAGCAAGAATGCCACCGCTGGCGAGGGCTGGCTCCGTGGCCGTGGCATAATTTGTTGCGACATTGAGAAATTCGGTATTTGTCCGTTTCCACAACTGCACGATATCATCGGAGCCCTTTGTGGGAAGGCTCGGCGATTCTTGCTTGATCATCCAAGCTAGTCCCTGGCGCTGATATGGAAGCAACTGGGTGGAAAGGCCGGGTGGAGTATCGGCCATAGGCATATTGACCAGGTCAGACTCCTTCTGTCCAAAGGTTTCTACAACCTGACCAATATCTCGGGGATTGAAGGTGGAGCTCTGGTTAAGGAGTTCTTCCAAGCTCTCAATTTGCTCGCCACCAAGTCCCGTGGGGGTTGAGAGGTTCGCATACTCTGAGTTCTGGTTGGCTTGCCATTGTGTTGCAGCTTTGCCAAGAGCCATGGCGCGAGCTTTCTTTGCGGCCTCCTTCTGCCGTTTCTCGGTTTCTTTCTCTGCCTTGCGTTCCTCGCGCTCCAACTCGTTCAGTTGGCGAACAGGAAGCTTGTCATTCTGCATTCGTTGCTTCAGATTGGATCGTCTGGTAGGGTCACGACTCCCGAAAAGCTTCAAATCAACTGGACACCAGAAATCCCCAATCGCACCAGTCAATGTGCCTTCAATAATGAGATCGCGAGCATCCTTTGATAACAGACGTCAGCCATGCCCCGAAAGCAATATGATTGGAACTTTACAATGTAGGACGCCAGCTTCTCTGCCATCTGTCGTGGAATGTGGCCAATTTGGGCACCCATGACATTGTCAACCCTAATAGCATTGCGATCATATTGATTATTGGCATCCCGATTTATGATGACACGTTCACCTGGGTTGGCACGGCCCCTATAAAAGCGTACACCAACGATCTTTGTAGAAACAATACCTATTTGATGTGGTTTAGTATAGTTTCTAGAATAGATGGGCGAGGAACCGATATTATTTAAAAAGGAGCATACCATAGAGGATGGACGTTGTTAGAGAGGTTTCATCCAATTCCTGAGATCCTTGAATCACATCAAGGGCTTCTTCGTCCTCCTCGTCGGCACCAACTACTTGCGAGAGTTGATTCAATGGAATGAAGTCGGCAGATTCGCCAAATCTCTGGCCTGAGCTAGTATTCTGGTTCAACGGAATGTAGTCGACAGTCTCGCCGAATCTCTGACCCGAGCTGGCTTTTTCAGCATTCAAAGTCGGAGCTGTGCGAGTAAATTTTGGCGCACGACCAGACTGATCTTCGGTAGAAGAGACATCAGACTTGCGTTTTCCTGCCATGTTTCTTTGGCTTCAACGCAGTTGATACAAGCTTTGACAGTGATGAAGATGGGGAGGTCGTGGACTGTTGGAGAAGAAGTGCAAATGTATCCGAGGCCCTATGCTGTTACTCAACAATATCCTCTCGGGTGACAATTTTCAACAGCAAAGGACCACCAATGAATAGATAATAGGGGATTGTTGACTCTAGAGCTGTCACATTACGCCCTATAATTACAAATTGGGTTTAGCTCCCGACGCGTAAAGACACGGCTACACGTGACTGATGTAAAGCGGGACCAATCACGTGATACCAATCACGTGGAAAGATATGCTGATAACTCGCCGCCCGCTGAGTGGACGCTCAGTATAGGGCAAGCCCCACGGAGGGTCTTTACAATGTTAGTTGATATGCGAGTACGATAACAAGCTGATGGCTGAGACGAGAGTTTATCAAAAAATAATTCATTAATGCTCCAAGCTCTTGCACTGTACCATCTCGTCTATACTGTTGTCAGTAGTCTGGAGATAACCCTTTGTCGTGCGGAGAAACCCCGACACCTGCGTGGGGTATGTCCCGTCCCCCGGATTTTATCCGCTCCAAGGTTGTCGAGAGATTCCCACTGATGCATTGGCAGCCATATTTACCCCCTTTCGTTATGAATCATGTCAGTTTCGCAGATCAAAGTTATGCCGTCCTATCAGCCATTTCAATGTCTCGTCTGTCAAAGTCGATTTACTCGACATGAGAACCTCAAGCGACATTCAACACTACACTCCCGCTCTCAGGCTGAAGCTTCGCTTCCTTGTGACTTTTGCCACGCCACCTTCTCCCGTCCCGACTTGCGCAATCGCCACATGAAGAGGAAACATCCAGAGCATGAGCAGCACCGAGTGACGAAGAGGACACAGCGCCAACCAGTACCCAGACAAAACAGGCTGCCTTCTTCTGTATCGCCGACAGCGGTCTCACCTACAGGAAGCAATGGTGGCTTTCCATCTCCCAGATCTGTGCATTCGAGCCCAGGAGAGGAGACGAGGTTCGATAGTGATGCGGTCTGGCGCCCGGTGATACGGTATCAGCAGCAGCAGCAGCAATTTGACTGTGGCCACCCCACGGAAAACCCAAATATTGCTACGCCAAGGACCGGGGTAGCCAAGAAACAACCGACAAGAGACCTGTTACAACACCAATCCACGACGAGCGACTCCACTCTCATCGATCAGATTGTCCAGGACGCAACAGATCTAGAGCGGAGCTTACTATTAGGGACATCCTTCCTGAAGCCCACCAATCATCTTGATAACCAACTACATCCGATTATCACCTCAGAAGCCGAGCCACTCGATACAAGTCTAGCCGAGTACAGTTTCCACCACCCAATTTTGGATAGACTGTCGCCGAATGACATCCCTCGACTTCAAGACGATTGGGCCCCGACTGCCTTGCAAATCTCACGAGGCTGCAATTTATTTTTCACCTCAGTCTCCCATTTCCTCCCCTTCCTCCATTCCCCGACTTTTGATCCGACACAAGTTCCTCCTCATTTGGTCCTCAGTATACTTTGCCTCGCCTATCAATATGGCGAGGACCCAGAATGCGGGGACCAAGAAGGCTCAGGCGAAAGCTTTTCTATACGTTGCTTCCATAAAGCTCGAGCTCTCCTTGCTTATGACGAAGAAAGGCCGGACGCTTCAACAATGATCACCACACTGGTTCAATCATACTTACTCCTTCAAATCTGTGCCATGATGTACCTTTGTGGGGACAACTCAGCCTGCGGCCTCAAGATGCATTCGCATATCATCTCTCTGGCTCGCACTGGACGAATGACACAGCCAATGACTGTTGAGTTGGGTGCGACCGCAGATTTGGAGTCATTATGGCGGGAATTTGTTAAAGCCGAGTCACACAAACGGACACTTTTTGCAGTGCATCAAATCGACGCGCTCTGGTACCAATTCCTTTCCATTCCTCGCTCAATCTCACATCTGGAAATCAAGCATGAGATGCCATGCCCAGAAGACCAATGGTCATCATCCTCTGCTGCTGAATGGGCTCATCGTCAACTTGTTGCAAGAAATGCCGGTCCCTCAGTCACATACACCGATGCTGTTCGACGCTTCCTTTCTTCTGATGACGAAATCACCTCCATTCCGGCATTTGACCCATACGGCGCTATCAACATTGCCCAATTTCTGATCTCTAGCGCCCGAGAAATCTCAGGCTGGTCTACAATGACGGGGATGCTCAGTATGGAACGATTTGGGGCATTAAGATTGTCTCTCGTCGCACTCAGCCCGTTTATCTGCCCCGAAAACCATACAGCGCAAACAAAGCACGCGACTTCATGCGCTGCAACTTGGGAGACTGCCATGATTGAGCTGCAGATGTGGTCACCATCCCACACTGGCGGCATTGTGGAAGGAAGCATAGACGCTGTTCTCAGTCATTCAACATACCTTGGACCATCGCAGTTCCTGTGCGATACCAACACAGCTAAAGCTATACAACCACATGTCAACTGGTTCCTAAGATATCTGAATGAAACGGTCATACTGGACTCTGAAGCGCCGTGGGTCACCTTGTATGCGTATAAAGCCTTTTTGATTGCGTGGCAGCTAATAAATGCTGGCCTACCTGGTGCAATGGACGCCGTGGGCGTCCATGATGGTGACACTAAAGGAACTCTGATGTGGGCGAGAAAGGTCTTCCAGCGAAGACAGAAATGGCAGATTGGGAAACTCATCTTGTCGTGTTTGGATGAGTTAGATAAATGAATAACGGTCTTCTTGTGCTCTTACTATTTACGAATATGTGTCCTGTGCAAATATTTTGCCGAGGTTTGAACAATCCAATCATTCTCAACTATATTCCATTGTTATTTCCATTTCCCTAAGTTAAAATATACCATAACTATAACCATGTGACACGGGCCCATATGCTGAACCCAGCAATACATGAGTAACAAACAAAATACAAAACAACGTAGTTATTGATCAGTACATCTCGTAGCGCCAGTTGAGCTGTATCATTTCCTCCGTGACGCCACCCTTGATCACCTTGGCGATTTCCACGGGATCGCCAGAGTCCAAACGTTTGTTCTCGCGCAAGACGAGCCAGCGGTATGCAGTGATAGTGAATCCGAACAAGACAGCAGCACCCATAAGCGTGCCGAAGGCAGCATAGAAATGGGGCTCTCCAAAGTATAAGTATGAGGCCCAGATATTGGACGTACCACCGATGGCATTAACCAAAGCAGAGGCAGCCGCTCGCTTCGAGATGGGTCGCGCAAGATGCAGGTTGATGGTCTTGTAGAGGAGGAGCTGGGGACCGACGGAGGCGAAGGGCAGGATCATCATCGAGAAGTAGCGAGCGCCGACGTTGGTACTAGCAATAGGAATGATGTACATCGGGATCGAGATGGCAATGCAAAGGATGATGATTGGGTATGCGGTATTCTTTCGATCGGAGTAGAACATGAGGACATAGTAGACGAGACCGGCGAGGATATAGGGGGGTGCCGTGAGAAGCAAGCTGATCGTGCTGGTGAAGTTGAGCGAGGCCACGAGGGTGGGGAAGTAGTTGGCGATGGAGCCCTGTGTCTGGGATAGCATGTTGCAAATGATGAGCAGGACCAGCTTGGGGTCTCGGAGGGCTTTGGCAAACCCTTTCAACACGCTCTCATCTTCTGTGCCCTCGGCCGCACCAGCTTCGGACTCGATACGCCATACAGCGCAGTCGCGCTCAATCTGGGAAAGGATGCGGCTGTTGTGAGGGAATTCTGGCATGATGCAGGCGCAGATGATGCCAATACCGACAGTGGCACTGCCCTCGATAATGAATAACCACTTCCAGCCGCGGATGCCGTGGTGCCCATCAAGTTGAAGGATGGCTGCGGCGAAGAGACCACCGAAGGCATTACCAACTTGCTGGGCAATGTATAGCCCGGCAATACGCTTTCCTAGCTCTCTCTTTGTGTACCAGGCAGAGAGGTAATAGATGGCTCCGGGGAAGAAAACGGCTTCGGCGGCTCCGAGAATAGCTCGAACAGCGAGGAGTTGACCATATGTTGTGACCGCCGCTGTGCAAGCCGAGATAGCACCCCAGATTGTCACGGCACCACATATGTACATGCCTGGCCTGGATATCTTTGTAATGATGAGGTTGCTGGGAATTTGGAATGGCAGATAGCCGACAAATAGAATGGAAACAGCCGTGGCAAATTGCTCAGTAGACATGTTCAGATCTTCCATGATGCCCTGAAGTTTTGCAGCGCTCAAGTTTTGTCTATCAACGTAGTTGGCTATGTAGAGAAATCCAATTGTTGGGAGAACAAGGAGGTCAACCTTGCGGACGATCTTCTTTTTGAGGGCATCAAACTCATCGTCGCCGAGTGCACGAAGTGACTCTGGCATGCGGTTGTAGGCATCGACTTGCCCTTCTGCCGACGAGACATTGTCTTCAGCCAGGACAGAAACTTTCTTGTCCATAGGGAAAGACATGAGGAGGGAGTAGTGCTTGTGGTGCTTACCAAGACCACAGCGAGTATGAAAAATGGAGACTGTGTTGCAACAGAGAGTGTTGCAGGTTGCAGGCTGCAGGCTGGATCTTCGAGACGATAATAAACAATGGAGATTGTATTGCAACAGAGAGTGTTGCAGGTTGCAGGCTGGATCTTCGAGACGGTACTTGAGCTCCCCCTATATAGTTCAACCCAGTCTCTGCATTTGCCAACTTAGCGGAGAGTCATTACCAATATCCGACCTCGGGAGTCAACTGATGACCAGAACTCCTTTTGAAAGAATCTCGAGGCATTCATTGGTCGAGATTGGTTGAGATCCGGTCATTCGTAGATGATATGTGAGACGAGTAGATAGGCCTTGGAGATAGGAGTACGAATGGGCACCCAATGGTTATCTGTCCAATTAGAATCGATTACCCCGGATGCAGAGTTTGGTTGAAATCTGGGGTGCATCGAGCTAGGCTTGGGAGGAGCTCTCGCATGTCCCCGAGGTCGATAAGAAGTTTTTGGGAGGTGCAGGTGGGTTTTTCATTCGGAAGACAGTGGTGTTTAGTGGCCATCCAGATATAATCCATAATTGTGGAGACAAATCCCATACAATATCTGAGACTTTCAGGTGGGACGCTAATCTGGACTGTAAAGAGGCGATAAGCCACCCCGAGGTTTGCCACTAGTCTGCCCTAACTACATGTAAGAGCTCATGTTGACCATGTCTAAGCTCCTCATTTTTGGTCCACGTTTTTATATCTTCAGTCTAGATTAATGAGGGGGTTATGGATACGTAAACCAATAAATGATACTTAAACTAGCATCTTATCGACATCATTCGTCTTCTTACTCTCAAACTCCCAACAGACAGCCCCAAAAAAATCACCTCTACCTTCTAATACCTCTACCATCACAATGGCTTACCCTACCGCTCTCACAACCTCGATCGACAACTCTCGATTGAGGCTCCTGAACAAGATCAAGGCCGGCGAGTTCCCGCTCATGACTTTCATGGCCATCCCCTCCATCCGCCAAGCCCAGATCGTAGCCCTGACCGGTGTCGACGGTATCATCATTGACTGCGAGCATGGACATATTGGCGACGATGCCATGCATAACTCTGTCTCTGCCATCTCCGCCCTCGGCGTCTCCCCGGTAATCCGCATCCGTGGCCCCGCCCACGATATCCTCAAGCGCGCCCTTGATACCGGTGCCCATGGCATCATGGTTCCCCAGATCAACAATGCCGAAGAGGCAGAGCAAATTGTCGCTTCTTCCAAGTTCCCTCCCCAGGGTGTGCGAGGCCAGGGCTCAGCCTTCCCCGCAATCGGCCACGGCCTCACAACTCCTGAATACATGAAGTCCGCCAACGAGACCATCATCACTATGATTCAAATTGAGACCCGCGCTGGTGTCGAGAATGTCGATGCTATCTGCGCTGTGCCCGGTGTGGACCTTGTCTTTATTGGTCCCAACGATCTTGCCCAGTCTTTGCTTGGATACACCCCTGCTCGCGGCGATGAGCCTGAATTTGTTGCTGCTATTGATAAGATTATTGCTGCTGCCCGCAAACATGGAAAGTGGGCTGGCCGCATGGTCAACAATGGTACCGCAGCCAAGGAGGCTCGAGAGCTGTATGATACCGTCGCCATCACCGGTGACACAAAGGCGATTCAGAACTGGTACATGGCAGAGTTTGATATTGCTCGTTCATGAGAGGGCGGACAATTTTATGGCATATTATGATATAATTTCGTATATAAAATTTTAAATAGACAAATTAAGTTTCTACACTTCTTCACCTCTCTATATCAATTAAATCGAACTTCGAATTCGGAGAATCTCCGATCTAGCTACATGTCTTGGCTCAGACATAGGCTATCAAAGCCCACTAGTCCTTTTAATCCCTCGAAACATATGCCCTTGCTGTCTAATCGAGTTAGCCAAAAAATTGAGGAAAAGAAAAGGAAAATTATTAATCTGTACATACTCATTGCTTAAAGAAAACATTCCCTTATCTACTAGCTTGCTTGATTTTACAGACAGGAGCTTGGGTAATCTCACACAACACGTAAGTGTTTCAACTTTTAGTAGTACATACGCGCTTACATACATAATTAAGGTCATATCGGTCATGTCTAGTTAGATACCAGTTAACAATTGCGTAGTATATTGCATACCCTACTCTACATCATATGGCAAACTTCGAGCTCTATTCAAAAAAAGAAACATTTTAATTTTCGTCTATATTCTAGCCATTTTCGTAATATCATAATTCAAACTTGCGCAATACACTCGATCTCAATGACGGTGCCATTTCCAGGGGCAACCGCCTGAAGACATGAGCGTGAAGGCATGGGCTGTGGGAGGAAATCGATGTAGACTTCGTTCATAGCGGCGAAATCCTTCATATCGGCGAGGTAGACATTGTACTTGACGACCTGCTCAAGGGAAGAGCCGGAAAGCTCGAGGACCTCCTTTAGGTTTTGCAGAACGGTTCTCTGTGTGATAGCAACAGAGAGTCAGACAATGCCTTAGTACCCGATAACTGCTTGTGCAATTGAACTTACAGTAGCCTGCTTAATCTCTCCTGTGGCAGTCTGACCTGCGCAAAAGACGAGCCCGGGGACCTTGACGGCAGGGCCTGAATAGCTTCGTTAGTACCTTTTTTTCCTTGTTTATTCTTCAAGTGAATGCAAGGTGTTTTGCATGCAGATACTCACAGTTGTGAGGCTTGGTAGGGAACTTCTCGCTGGAGATGAGTTGACGAGACATCTTGTTTGGTGATTTTGAAGAGTGTTGTAGTTTTGTGATGGTATAATTTCAGGAGTGTGTCGAGACGTTTGGAATTCAGAAGTACTAGAAAATGAGCTTGTTTAAATTGCTCAAGCTACCCCTCATACCTCTCTATCCGAGGCATCTTGCCAATCAAGAAGAGGGGCAATTCTCATTATCGCGGTGGAGGAGCAGTATATTTTTGATACTAGTCTATTCGATATCACTCTTCCAGGGGATATGGCGGGAGGAGTGGGAGGGAGGAGTGGGAGGAGTGAGAAATGGGAGGAGCACATCAATTTGGGTAGATTATTGCGGCCATATTCCTTAAAACTTCTATCAGCGTGTAAACCTACAGTTTGTAATTTAAATTGACCATGTGGCCGCAATCACGACCCGTATACACCTCCAATTCCCTTATCGTTTATGCTTAGGTTCAACGTCCATAGATACGGCTAAGGCAGAGGAGCTCCCCGAGGTCCTGTTTATGATAACAAAAATGAGAGACGAGCTGAACCATCGGGAAAATGTGGGGAATTGCAACAGGGAGCATCCAACATTACGATTATCACGCCAAAATCATAGTGGCGCACTAGCTGTGGTCGATAATCCTCCTGCTCTCATCGCATCTAATCTTACTGAATGAAGCATGCCATACTTCCCTCCCCGGATATCGGATATACCGATAGGGTTCATGTCTCATCATTGGATTAGTATATAAAGATGTAGAACTCGATCAGATAATCTTCCTTGTATTGTCTTCAGCGTCGATCACAATACTGAATATTCTTTGCGCATATATCACCATGCCACTTTCTGCTCCTTTCAATCCTCCTGCGGCTGACCTGCCTGGCAAGCCTTTTGTCCCAACATGGGTTCCCCCACCGGTCACTCAGCAGAAGGAGAACTTTGCCGAGCTTAGCTCCATTGACCTTTCTTTGTTGGACTCGGATGACCCTGCCGTTGTTGACAAACTTGTCCAGCAGGTCAAGAGCGCCATTCGTGATGATGGATTCCTTTTCCTCGAAAACTACGGAGTTTCCCTAGAGCAGGTAAGCCTTGGTTCTGAAGCCAAATTCTAAGACCGACGTTGCTGATAACGTATCTTTTTCAATAGCTCCACCGTCAGTTCTCTCTTGCACAATATCTATACCAGAACATTAGCGAAGAGGACAAGCAGCGCCTTTTGTTCGATCCTGAAACTGGTGTTTGGTCTGGTTACAAACACCCTTACGGATTCAAGGTAAGAGAATCTCTCTCATGCATCGACCAACCCTCTACTTACTCTTCCCTTTTGTGATTAGCGTGAACGCGGACCCGAAGATGGCATCGAGCAATTCAACTGGTACAAGCCCGACTGGAACGACATCAACCGTGTACCTAAATGTCTGCACCCCTTTATGGACGAGATCGAAGAGTTCTCCAACTATCTGACGAAGTCCGTCAACCGTCGCCTCCTTACTCTCTTCTCTCGCGTCCTCGAGTTGTCCGACGACTATCTCTGGGATAATGTCCAATCACACGGTTGTCCAACTGGTGAGGGTTACTTCCGCCATGCGCTTTTCCGCCCCGTCCAGAAGAAGACTGAGAAGGCATCCAAGGGCCTGCGCATGCACGGTCACACTGACTTCGGTCTGACAACATTGCTCTTCTCTGTCCCCATCTCGTGTCTCCAGATCTGGGGCCGTGATGAAAAGTGGTACTACGTACCCTACAAGCCCGGTGCGCTTGTTATTAACATCGGTGACACCCTGGAGATTGTTTCTGGTGGCCATTTCAAGGCTACTCGTCACCGTGTTTACAAGCCTCCTGTCGATCAGTTGAAGGAGGAGCGTCTCTCTCTGGTTCTCTTCAACAGTTCTGTTGGTGATTTGCGTATGGGTCCCGCAACAGGTTAGTAGATTGAGCGCACATTGGTTAATCACAAGAACCACGCTAACGCCGTCCTTTATAGCATCTCCTCTTATTCAACGAGTGGGCTGCGTTGAGGAACAGGGCGTCTACAAGGAGTTCAAGAGTCTCACATCCCAAGGAAAGCTTGTGCCTACCAACCGTCAATGGCGCGAAATTCAGATCGCTACTGCTACGGATCCCACGGATCAAGAGCGGAACAGAGTTGGTGCTGACCAGGTTCTCATTGATGGTAAGATTATGCACCAACGAGAGTACATGGGTGTCAAGGTTGTACTGCCAGTTTGAAGGTATAATGCAAGCAAT